CAAGTCTGACTCTTTTGTGACCACATGGACTGCTGCTCACCAGACTCCTCTGTGCATGGAACTTTCCAGGCAATAATACTAGAGTGGCTTGCCATTTCCTGCTCCAGGGGATCTTCCAGGGATTGAACCCACATCTCTCACATCTCCTGCATTGGCAGGTAGATTCTTTACCACTGAGCCACCTGGGAAGCCCATCAGATGCCCAGACAGAGTTAATAATTGAGATTTGTTTGTTTTGAATGATAGGTTGTGACTGAAAAATAAGACCCCAGAGACTGAATGAGGCTTAAGAGAAGTAGCGCAGTATAGTGGTTCAGCTGTTGAGCTTTGGTGAGAAATGGATAGTACGGGTCCTAATTCTTACTTTGCCAATTCATGGCATCCGGTCCCATCACTTCATGACAAATAGATGGGGAAACAGTGGAAACAGTGGCTGACTTTATTTTTGGGGGCTCCAAAATCACTGCAGATGGTGATTGCAGCCATGAAATGAAAAGACGCTTACTCCCTGGAAGGAAAGTTATGACCGACCTAGACAACATATTTAAAAGCAGAGACATTACTTTGCCAACAAAGGTCTGTCTAGTCAAGGCTATTGTTTTTCCAGTAGTCGTGTATGGATGTGAGAGTTGCACTATAAAGAAAGCTGAGTGCCGAAGAATTGATGATTTTGAACTGTGGTGTGGAGAAGGCTCTTGAGAGTCCCTTGGACTGCAAGGAGATCCAACCAGTCCATCCTAAAGGAGATCAGTCCTGGGTGTTCATTGGAAGGACTGATGCTGAGGCTGAAACCCCAATCCTTTGGCCAGCTGATGCGAAGACCTGACTCATTTGAAAAGACCCTGATGCTGGGAAAGATTGAGGGCAGGAGGAGAAGGGGACGACAGAGGATGAGATGGTTGGATGGCGTCACCGACTTAATGGAAATGAGTTTGGGTGAACTCCAGGAGTTGGTGATGGACAGGGAGGCCTGGCGTGCTGTGGTTCATGCGGTCGCAAAGTTCAGAGTGAGCGACTGAACTGAACTGAACTGAACAGGGACAAGTTACCTTACCTCACCTCCCTAAGTTCGCCTTTCTTCATCTGTAAAAGGTGGTGTAGAGGTTTCTATTTCAAGGCTTTTTGACTCTGCTGCTGCTGCTGCTGCTGCTAAGTTGCTTCAGTCGTGTCCAACTCTGTGTGACTCCATAGACGGCAGCCCATCAGGCTCCCCCGTCCCTGGGATTCTCCAGGCAAGAACGCTGAAGTGGGTTGCCATTTCCTTCTCCAATGCATGAAAGTGGAAAGTGAAAGTGAAGTCGCTCAGATGTGTCCGACTCCTAGTGACTCCATGGACTGCAGCCTACCAGGCTCCTCCGTCCATGGGATTTTCCAGGCAAGAGTACTGGAGTGGGGTGCCATTGCCTTCTCCTTTGACTCTTGAGTCATGCGAATTAACTAAAAGGATTAAAGCAATGCCAAGCACCTTGTAAACATTCAACCAATGTTGGTTATTATTATGAGAACTTCATTTACACATATTCATTAACATGTTTTGTTTGAAAATGCCCTAGTTACAGTATACATCACGAAATAGGATGCAGTTATGTGAAATAAGTTTTGCTAAACCTTCTATTTAAATATCATCTTGAAATGTAACTTTATGATTTTTAAGGTATTTTCTTTAGAAAGTGCATTTTTAACAAAATGTGCCACTTGGAAACCAGGTCTCAGTGGTATTTTGGATAAGTGTAAAGGAAACCCATTTTTAACTAAAACAAATTATGATGGTGCTGAAAATGGTCTAAATCATTACAGTGGGTAAAGGGCAAATGGTAAAATGTACCCTTAGAGAATTCAATTTTTAAGAAAAAGTCAAATTTTGCATTGATTTTGGATTGGCCTTACTACCTCTGAATGTATTTGCTCAGGCTTAGCTGGGCCTCACCTCCTCATTTTGCCTTGCCATAGGTTTAATACCTGCCCTACCAGGTGGTTTGAACAAAGTCATTGGCTTAATCATTCAGAATCATCTCACTCTCAACCAATGTGTTAGGTTTATTCACAGGATTCGTGCGTCAGGCTGGGAGAACAAAGGGGTTCTGAAGAAGAAAGAGGCTATCATATTTTTGCAGCAGAATTAGACACCATCTATCTGAAAATGGAATCTGTGGTAAAAATCTCCAGATTACTTGTAATTCTTCTCTTTGGACTTACTCAGTTCTCCCAAGATTTGCTTTTCCAGGGACAATTTAAAATACAATAGACATACTTTGTCCTATTCTACTTCTACTAATTCTCTTGCTCCAAAGCAAATCAATACAACTGTCCCTGATATATTAATATCATTCTACCCTCTCTTCACTCATAGCCCACAATAGAAGCAACTAACTTTGTAAATGAATATTGCTCATTTTTGAAACCTGACAGACTTTTACAGGGAATTGTCAGTTGGCTGAGGGGTATTGTATCTAGCTCTAAAGAAACCATGACTGAACTCCTAATTGTCCCAGCATTTTGCTATCTTACCTCTTTTCTTCATTATTTGTATTCCTACCTGAATCATTGGAAAGATGAAAAAGTGAAATTCAATCAGTTAACAAGCTGTGATGTTACAAAACTTGTGGATGGTGAAAGTCTTGAAATCATTGGATGAAACAAGCCTTGAGATAGTCTTTGGGTTTCATTAATCCAGAGGTTCTCAACCTTTGGCATGAATCAGAATCTCCTGGATTACCAGTTTTTGATTCAGAAATTTCAGGATTGGCCTGAGAGATTGCATTTTGAAAAGGTTCCCAGGTGATGCTGATACTGCTGGTTCAGAGACCATACTTAGAACATCACTGCACTAATCTGTGCTTGGCTTCCCTTCTATTAATGTGAATAATCTAGAATTTTCTTTTCCTTAGCGGATTTTAAAATTTATGCTGTATAAAGTAAACATTATTGGTTATTTTGGTATATGGACATCTTATACAGTGTAATAGATTTGGTAGTGTAAGTAATTACTCTATCCATTTGGTTGATTTAATTTGCAAAGCAGTCAATTATATATTCCTTGAGTCATGGCTCTAATCCACAAATCTCTGCTTCTCTATATTATTGTGGAGTCAATGTAATACTGACGTTTAACTTATGTGTGTGTGTATGGTGAAGCCTTAATTTTATGGCATTGTAAGAAATTCATACTTAAAAAACTCCTTCTGTTGTTTTCTCCAATGATCTGATTTTATAAGCTTTTTGTGGTAGAAGAATTGAGTTCATTTCTCATAGAATTTTTTAAGCTCAGAATATGTTTATTTAGCTTTAATAAAGGATGTAGAAGAGATAACAGCCAGGGTAACATAATAGAGCCTTTAGATATAACATCTGATGTCCCCAGTCACTACTTGAGACTCACTTGGTTCACAGGAAATGACAAGTTAAGTGAATGCAGGTCATATCACATGGGGAGTCACAGTGTTTGGGGTCACTGGGCATAAACACTGTTAATTCCTCACACCCAGAAGGTCATATGCCTCATTCCCATTCTCTAATGTAGCTACAGTCATTGATTACAAGATATACAATGAATAGCCTCAGCATCTAGGAGCACATTCCTTAGCAACAACCTTGAATTTCTCATTTAGCTGCAATGAGACCTTCCTTAATTGATACTATAAGTTTGATGAACAGATTACATTCAGGCATCCCTGAGGCTGGAGTAATATTTGTAGTCCAGCTGTTAATTCTTTCCCGTCACTAGGTGATACATACAATCCTGACTGAATGGGAGTCTGGGAAATGCAGTTTTGAACTTTTCCAGCTTTTGTTGTCCCGGAGTTTGAAACAGAGTTTCAATGTCCCGGAGTTTGAATGGTCTAGTATGAAGTATGTAACATGCTGCCTAAATGATGAAAAGCAGAAAAGAGGTAACTTGAAAAATCCCTGGCCTTAGAGTCTGGATATGAATTTGCACACCAATGCTGCTCTAAGCTGTGACTTGTCTTAACAATTTTAAAGTGTAACTCCATGGCTGATTCATGTCAATATATGACAAAACCCACTGCAATGTTGTGAAGTAATTAGCCTCCAACTAATAAAAATAAATGAAAAAAATAAAATAAAATAAAGTCATCCTACCCAATAGGGTGTCAGTATGCTACAGTAGTACAGTCTTGAAGGACCTTATCACTTAAGCTGTGTAAACTTGTGAAAATTACTGGACCTCTGCATGCACTAGATCTCTCACCAAATGATGGCAATGACAGCAATACCTATGTCACAACATTGTTGTGAGAGTTGAGTGGGTAAACAAAGTTCTTAAAATCGCATTTGGCACTTCTTAAGAAAATAATATTTCCTTTAGCACATGAATAGGGGGGTCTTATTGAATGCTCTCTGACCTAAACACACCTAACACAATTGTTGATATTTTTATATGAGGTACATTTAAGACCTGGGAATAGTCAGACAGATACTGTAGAATATCAGAAACCTAATTAATAAGTCATTGTATCCACGGATATATTCTTCTGCCTAGCTGCCTGCATCCGTATCAATCAGTCAGGGTGGAGAAATTATTTATAAATAGATATTTTCACTGGGAGGACCATAAAACTGAGATGGAAAACCCTTATAACTTTTTATTCTTCAGTGCCTGCCAAATGCTTTTCAAACATTTGTCATCATTACCAGTCAGCCTAATGTAATAACATTAGGTGTTCCACTTTGGAAAATTTCTCTTATGTTGGAATTCTTACGTGATTAAAAAAAAGTTTTGTCTTTAGTGGTATTGAGATTATATAAAACTGTGTATCATCAAATATCCTCTTTTTTTCCTCCTCCTTATGTTGGGATTAGGAATCGAAGACAGGTGACAGTTTTTTAACCTATTCACCTTGTCGTGTAGTAGTTTGCTCCTTTATGGAAATACTGGATACCGGCACAGACACAACTTTGTTTTAAATGTGAAATTGCACCTCCATCTTCGGAATGCTGGGCCTTGACTAACCCATTTTTATCTCATTCTTCTACTCCAGCTGGACAGTGCCACGTCACTCATCCAGGCAGCTAAAAACCTGATGAATGCTGTTGTCCTCACGGTGAAAGCATCTTATGTGGCCTCAACAAAATACCAGAAGGTCTATGGGACAGCAGCTGTCAACTCACCTGTCGTGTCCTGGAAGATGAAGGCACCAGAGAAGAAGCCCCTTGTGAAGAGAGAAAAGCCTGAAGAATTCCAGACAAGAGTGAGACGAGGTTCTCAGAAGAAACACATTTCGCCTGTACAGGCTTTAAGTGAATTCAAAGCAATGGATTCCTTCTAGGACGATAGGCTTTAACAAGAAAGCTTTTTCTTTTTTCTTTCTTTCTCTTCTTTTTTTTCCTTTTTAATTCCATTTTTGTATGCATACCTGCTGACTCGTGTGCCTCTGGCATGGGGAAAATAAGGAACAGTGTCTGTTTGCATGTAAGATGAGATGTGATCAATACCACTGATCCGTCTCTAGCCTGAGGAGGGGACAGGAAATTCCTGTCCCGAGGTGGCACAGAGCTGTCCTTTGCAACATTCTCATAAAATTGGGCAGAGTTCACATTGCAGTGTTTATGGGAGTGGGAGGGATGGGGAAAATAAAATTAACTCTACAAAAGCAAACTCTAATGCATGCAAGAATCATTAGGTTGGCAGGTATATTAATAAGTGACAAATTGGAAGTGTAATGGTAGAACATAAAGCTTGTATTGCTTCTGTTTAAGTGCAAAAATGTACTAGCCAATACGCTTAAGTGTGTGGCCCACAAATTGAACAATTTAACTTTGACATCATGTCCATAATATGTGGAGTTTTTACTAAGGAGAAACTAACTCATCCAGCCTAAAATGTTTCTTTTAATCTGTATTCTGTTCTTTCTCTTCTAGTCGTGCCATTACTAGTGCTCTTGTTATCAATTTCCCCCTTTACTGAAAACAATAAACCTTTGTTTAAAAGAATTATAATCCTTCTGGGGGCACTGGAAGCACAATGTGGTGATCATCTTGCTCTTACTTTAAAAAAAAAAAAAAAACAACTGAACTATGACTTTGCTAGAAATAGGAGGCCCAGTGATGGAATGTTAGAGGAATGGAAACTGACAACGTGTGAAGGTTTAGAGGCAAATACATAGGTGTAGCTTGGAGTGCTGGTATCTAATATACCATTGTATCCACTAACTCGAAATAAACACATTTACTCTTGACACCTGAAGAATGTTTTCCTCCTTTGAATGCATGCTTATAGACAATTAGAGCACCTTCTTGAAAACTGATTAAAAATACTTTGTGTTTTTAGAAATTGGGGGTAAGAGTAGGTAAGTGACATGTAAAGAAAACTCTGGATCATCTTTATAGTCCAGGAATTTATTTTTCTGTGTGTTTTTCCATGTGGTTTTTATTCACTTTCAAAGTGAATCTAATGAGAAAATCATGTGTTAGAATTTTCTGGGCCATGTTTAGCCCTGGGCTAAACTTATGAAACTTAATGCGTTCTCAGAAGAAATTGAATCAAGAAAAAAATTATAGGGAGGTCCATTAATTTTAAAATATTTGATTCATTTCAAAATATTTTTATCTCAACTACAGAAAGAAGGCCTCTATTTCACTACTAAGAAAGAGTGGGGTGTAGTCTTTCGGTTATGACTCGAGGAGTGAGGGGAAAAAAACATATTCATCTGAGTTCTTGAAATTCCTCCCATTTGAATGATTTCTACAGGTTAGCAAGTTATAGTATGTCTCTAGAAGACTTCTGGTAAAACGTCTTATTTCTTAGCAATGTAGTAACATATTGGGAGACAAGGACACCTATGCTTTGTATCAGCTTATATACAAAGTCCCAAAGAGATGAAGAATTGTGGAAGAAGAAACACTTAGTCCAAAATGTTCCTATGGACAGGCTCCTCTGCCCATAGAATTCTCCAGGTAAGACTACTGGAACGGGTGGCCATTCCCTTCTCCAAGTGATCTTCTTGACCCAGGGTTTGAACCCGGGTCTCCTGCATTGCAGGCAGATTAACTGTCTGTGCCACAAGGAGAGCCCTATTTAAAGATGGTTCTGTTCAAATCACTACTCATCTCCATGAGGTGATGAAAATACCACCCAGGCTGAGAATGATCTATTGATGGAGGATCCACCACAATAGCTGTACAGTGGTTTTCAGCACTAAATCAGTAAACCACTATTCCAACTGCCCTGCTCCCTTAATTTGTGTAAATGCTGAGAAAGGAAACCATTGATATTGATTCACAACTATTTATGGAATGCATTCTCTGAGCCAGGTCCTAAGTTGAGCTTACTGGCAACATTTCTTGCTAACACTTGAGCATGGCATAACTCTCTTGGTTTATGCATTCTATGATTTAATGGGTTGAAAGAAGTATTCTTTACACTAGCCAAGAAACTTTTAAAATTCAAAAGCTTCTTGGCAAATCCTGAAAAATAGTCAGCAGGCATCAGAGGAGCATCTAGACAATGCCATTGACTTTGCCCTTAAATTTGAATGAAATGTTTTAATACAGGAGGGTGAGCAATGTTTTATGGGTGTGATTTCTGGAAAAAAGTAATTGATTCTGTTTGTTTTACCAAAGCTTATTGAGTAAACATCAACATGGCCCTCGTTTCTCTTGTGATCAAGGAAAATAATCAGTGTTCAGGTACATAATTAAATATAAATACAGCTGAGAGCACTATAACAATAGATAAGTTTTACTGTTTGTTTCCTGGCTTTGAGAAAGGTACAATCTAGCTGACAACATGGGATATAGGCAGAAAAAAGATAAGTAAATATGCCAAGAAATTGTACCTAATGTGCCAAATGAAGAAGATAAAGAAATGACTACTGTATAAGACAGAAGAAGTCAGAACACTTGGGGACTGAAGCAGTTGGGGAAGGATTAATGCACGTGATGTGATTTACAAATGAGAAAACAAAAATTAAATATATGCTGTATGAATGAAATGTGTAATGAATAAATTTGGTAGGTGACTGGGGTGAGCATTCAAGGATAAAAGAACAGCATATGTTCAGGTCTGAAAACAAGTGCAGTTACAGGAAACATGATGCAGACAGGGGAAAATAAATGTGGAAGTGTAGTATGAGGCTAAACTAAGGAGGGTCATGAAGGAGTGTGACCATTATCCAGTAGGAAATTTTGGGTTTTAAAGTGGAACGGTGATAAAAGCAAGCAGTGTCTGTGTACGATGAAACTAATAATTTATGAGGAGATGAGACCTGAAAGGGGCTGATACTAGTTATAAAGGATATTTGTGATAGCAGTGTAAGAAAGAATTGCAGTTACTTCTTGAATAACGAGATGTGGAGTAAGAACGATTATTATATAATTTATTCAAGGAGGCTAAAGAGTCAGAAAACTGGAAAGCAACTACAAAGCAGTATGTGAACATGTACTGAAACATACTGAATATATGGTATATTTGAAAAGATAGAGAAGAAGTAATTAATTTCAAGCAAATAGAGTTATCTGGGATATTTCCTCCAAAAGTGGCACCCTGGGATAATGGAGGATGCATATTCCTGATGGGTGGAAATTGGATAAATCTCAACTTCTAACTTTCTGAGCTACAACTGATGATTTAAAAGATAAAAACTTTATATACTTCCAAGAGCCTAAAGTATACAGGAAACATAGGTTATCTTCAGAAGATCTGTAGTTTTTCCTTCACTAAGTGTTGAAGAATATGAAGTCAACTTTGATTTTAGAAGTCAGCTTTTATAAACAGTTGGCTCATGGCTTAGGTCATGAATAAATAGGCTCGAAGTGTCATTAACACGACATCATCACTTTTGAGCATCAATAATAGGTATGACACCTTTCAGACACTGGAAGTATAATAATCTACAAAATATTGTGTACAGCTGAATCATCAAGCACAATAAGCATTCAAAATACTGTGATTTAATAAGCTGTAGTCACTAAATTTGCTAGTAATGGATAAATCATATGATCTCTGTTGCTATGTCATTGTCTATTAACCAAATCAAAGAGGTCAGTACTAATGCTTGAAGATGTGGAATTTTTAAAGGTGATAAAAGGAAGTGGATTAACTACAGTAGGTCATTAATAACCTCTTTAAAATGTCAGTGCCGAGGAGTGCCAACAGCAAGGAGCAGACTAGGAAGCTCTAGACCCAGGTTCACTTGTGGAAACACAAAGTTAATAGCAAACACTGACCAAAGTAGCTTTGTGGGATCTCAAGAAACCACTTGTGGATTTGTAGTAGCCAAACATGTTTAACAAAGAAAAGGCTACACTTTAAAAAAAAAAAAAAGAAAGAAAAGGCTACACTTACTATGGAACGAAATTTTGGTGTGGTTTTGCTCACCCATAACTACCTCTTCCCTGGCAAAGCATGGTCAGGAGGAAGCTGTGCAATTCCCGTTTCCTCCCAGGCAATGGGGGGAAAAGTCAAACTTGTTTGCATTGTTCTGGGCTGTCTTTGTCTTCCTAAGTGACTGGTTTCTGTTTTGCCTAATAAGGAGCTATGGTGGAAATGGTGGCATGGTTTCAATATCAGGTTGGAGCCCACTGAAAGCAATGGCAGGTACCAATGGCATCTAAAAACTGTAGGAAGGTTACAAATCTGTGAGCTACTGGGGCAAGAAATTATGCGCAGAGAAATACAAGAGAGCATCTAAGACCCTAAGAAGAAGCAGAGATGAGACTCTGAGGAAATATAAGACATTTAATAGCAGCCATGTAAACTGGAATATTGGATGGGAAAAGCCCAGAGGCCCAGGAAATAGACATGCTTAAAAAGGCCTGAAAAAACTCTAAGCATTTATGTCAGGTTGATGAGTGAAGGCCTTTTCCTTCACAGAGCCAGTGTATAAAGACTGGGAGAGGTGGATATTCTTCAAATGTCCAACTATAGGTTGTCTATAAGTGACTCACATTAGATCTAAAGAAACACAAAAGTTAAAAGTGAAAGAAAAGGGGAAAGGGAAAATACTCCATGCAAATAATAACCAAAAGAAGGCAGGAATTACTAACCTAATACCAGACGCAGATCAATGGAAAGGAATAGAGAATTCAGCTATAAACCTACACAATAATGGCCATTAATCTGTGACAAAAGAGGCAAGAATATACAATGAAGAAAAGACAGTCTTTTCAATAAGTTGTGCTGGTATTACTGGATAGCTTCACATAAAAGAATGAAATTAAAACATGTCCTCACACTTTAATACAAATATAAACGCAACATGGATTAAAGATCTAAATGTAAGACCTAAAACTAAACAACTTAAAGAGAAAATAAAATATTCTTTGACAT